TATGTTGTTTCTACTTGTTTCCACCTGTTGATTTAGCAGGACACGTGGTATACACTTTCTAGGCATTTCTTACAAATTCTAGATTAGGAATGAACAGAATAATTATGCCCAAGTCAGTGGATTAAACCGCCATTCACCTGTGTGGCCCCGGTGGCCATGCTTCTCTTTGAGAAGCAAGTTGAAGGCACTCCCTGGATTTAACAATTCTCCTTCCTCTAACAACATATATTAAAAGGATAATGATGTGTGCACACCCGGATCCTCCACGGTAAAAAAAAAAAAAGATCCAACACCCAATCTAACTTTTTTTTTTTTATGTGAAGGGGTGCACACCCGGATGTGGGATCCGGGTGTGCACCTATCATGATCCATATTAAAATTATCAGTGTAATTACCACCCGGTTCAATTTTTTTTTTTATGTGGAGGGGTGGACACCCGGATGTGGGATCCGGGTGTGCACCTATCATGATCCTTATTAATAACATTTTTATCTTTCACAGTCCAAACCACATTTTTAGCTAAAATAGGCGGAAATGAACCTTTTTATTGTTGGCAATTACATGCCTTCTCTAAAAATAAATATAAAAATAAAAGAATTAATTTGTGTTTTATGATGTTTACCTAACTTCAACATCTCTCAAAATTTTTGCAACAACTTAAATATTAACTCTTTTTTTTTTTCATTGCTAATATTAGTCCTTAATTACAGTAATTAATTACTTTTGATTTCTCCCCAAAATACGCCCTTGTACAAGAATCTAAACTCTAAAGTCCCCCCAATGATGATGATGTGCTTTTTTATTATTAATTGCTGTGATCACTGATTATTTCTGCATTTAATGATTTATTCATTGGTTGGGGCCCACAACATGCGGGGAAATCCACTTGTTTCTCTTCCTCTTCCTCCTCCTCCTCCTCCTCCTCCTCTTTCTTCTTCTTCTTCCCCAGTGAATTGCGTGTGACTGAATTTCAATAATTGGGATACTGAATTTGATGGCAAAATGTACTAGAGTCTCTAATGATGACTAATCAATTATTACATTTTTATGTGACACGATTTAAAAATAATAAAAAAATAAAAATTATAATTTTTATTATACATGTAATTATTATCACTTCTATTATTATTAAATTTATTAAAATTTTAATTTTGTTAAATAATATTTTAAAATATTAATGTATTAATTAATTTATTAATTATTAATTATAATCATAATTATTTTTATTAATTAAATTAAATTAAATTAATATTTAAAATAATATTTTATAATTTTAATAATTATAATAACATTATTGTTATCAAGCTTAACTATGCCTTTTTATTACATCCACTTCGAATTTCATTAGTTGTATACATTTCTTCGTATGCATGTAGTGGTGGTCACGTTTCTCCAAAATGAGAAATAAGTTGAATGCATTTTGATCTATAAATTAAGTTTTAGATTTGATTTTTTTTTAAACAGATACTAATCTAACATTGTATTTTTTTTTTTTGTAAAAAAAAATTTCATTAGTTGTATTTAAAATGGTGTAATAAAAAAATTCATTAAATTCTTCAGATTAACCAAAATGTTGGTACTGATAAATGGAAAACAAAATACTCTAATTGTATCCTTCACGTTTGGTGTGGATGGCAAAATCCACCTGTGAGACTGCGCCTTCGATCGTTCGTGTCCTGTCAACTATTCTCATTTAGTAGAACAAAAAAAAAAATAAAGTAAAATAAAATAAAATTCCTTCTTCTTTTTCTTTTTTTTTTTTCTCTTTTTAATCCTCCCACATTTTATGGCCATTCACATATCTCCTTCGTTACTTGCTAAAGTGTTGCTAAAGCCTTTTGGGTTTTGACCCAAACCTTTTTTCTTTTGACGAATATTTATTGATCTAAAATGATATATTTTAGAATACTCTTCTGTTCTCTATTTCTTTGATGTTAATCATGCTTCAAATTCATTTAAGTTGTACATCATTAGACCTTGGTGGAGGGTGTACGTGGTTTTGCATCAACTCTTATGACATAATTATAAGTCTCTCTTAACTTTAGCTACGAAAGTAAGTCTTAGCATAATAGTATAAGCCATAGTTTAGTTTATTTTAGTTTCTCTTAAACAAAAATGGATAAAAACTAATAAATATAAATTATATAATGAAAGACATACCTTATTAATCAAGTTACAAATATGAATTCTATCGTATAAACCATTCAATATGCTCTCACAAAAATGAAAACAAACCTTCTCAGGGTGATATTTTTTATAAAAAAAAAAAAAAATTAAACTTGAATCAAGAATTAGGGAAAATTAAAAATTGAATGTGAAACACTATTAGCTCCCAACAACCTTATCACCAATAGGAAGTCACTTTCCATTGCTAGTGCACTTATAAAAGTGGGGGCCTAGATTTTGAATTCACAAAAACAACAAAATAAATCATTCAGTACGGGCACTCATTTCCTTCACTTGTGTGTGTGATGGTCCCCCAATTTCTCAATTATTTCCAATTTTCCCACAATATATCATGACCTGATTTGTAAGCATCTTAGCCATCAAATTCTTGGATCTTATTTATTAGGGTAGGTTGCGAGCTAACAGAAATGGGCACCACCCCCCCCCCCCTTCCCCCAATTTTAATTACTTCATTTCATAAATGGCTTGGCCTAATAACATAGACTTATATCTAACTAGTTTAATTCAACAGTGGATCCCACTCCTAAATGTTCCTTCTTAAGATAAGTTTTAGCCCAAATCATTTCACTCCATACCCCCAATTATGAAATCAAATACCAATATTTTCAAACTTTTGATTGTCATGTCGTGCTCCGCTCTCGTAGGACCCCTTATTCCCACAAGCAGTTGTGTGTACACGTATATTACAGTCCCGTCCACTAGATATTTTTATATGTCAAAAAATTTTGCACCTCTTCTTATTATTAATTTCCAATTTGATTTATTTTTATCTAATCATTTTTTCATTTTTATAAAAAAAATTTATCAAAAAAGTAAAAAATAGTTATTTGTTATTTTTAATTGTATAATATGAAACAATTATCTTTTATTTTTATAATCATTTTTTTATTATCAATAAAAATGAAAATTTATTCAATATGAATCCAAAGGGCATTCAATTCGAATATGACTAAAATCATAACAATCAATTGGCTAACAAATTTAACCACATATTCTCTTAAGATAAATTCAAAACACAAAGTTACACATCAACTATTAAGGAATCCCACCCCAATAAATCATATTACATATATACCTATGATTCAAACTTAAAATTAATTCTTATTATTATTAAAAAAATTATTACTAAATCATTTAGATTTTAATTGGCAAGAGCAATCAAAATTAGTTTCAAAGATTTTAAGAAACTAGCTACTATATAGTAAGAGTGTTTAAATATAATAATAAGAAAAATTAAGCCCAATTATTTGTAGTACATAGGATCCATAGTAAGGGTAGTATGGTCATTTCATTAAATTGTAAGCCAACCGCCACTCAAATCCAAAAGCACACCCCAATAAAAGCAAAGTTGATCTCCAATCTTCATCCCCTGTCTGAATTATCTCCACCCATGAGGAAAAAAATATATAAAAAAAAAAAACCCAAAAATAAAAATTAAATAAAAAGAAAAATAAAAGTATATAAAGCTGAACCACTTGGGCCGGCTTTTAACTAAATTTAGCTGGACAGACAAAAACCAACTAATTATCACCATCGTCTGTTTGTGCAGCTGTTGATAAATCTTTGTAATATTTATTTATTTTTTCTTTTCCATGTATTATTGATTTTATATCTTTCTGTGCCACCACTTTATTACCATTACTGAGAGAACCCCCAGACTTTTATTTTTTTTAACCACACCAACCCAAATAAAAAAATCAAACCCCTGAAGATTCCACAGCTAAAAGAAAAAGGAAGAAAAATAATCAAATATTTAGCTGTTTTTTTTTATTAAATTATTTTTAAAAAAAAAAGAAAAAAAAATTTCTTGAGATTGACAAACAGATCCCACCGAAATAAATTAATAAATTCACCATACAAACATCATTCATAAAACCCTTTTGAGAGAATTCACCACCATCTTGTTTGTTTCCCTGTTGATGATTATATACAGGTAGACTGAAATTATTTTTATTTTTATTTATTATTTTCTTTTTTATTTTCGTTGAAAGCTGTAAGTTAAGGAGGAAGAGGAGAGAATCCTATCGGAATTGACATATGCTGGGTGGTGGAGAACCGGGCGGTGGCCATGGTGCTGCGGCGGGGCCCAGCGGAGCTCATGAAGACGGTGGCAGTGGACCAGTTGCTGCAGCAGCTAGTGCCATGTTTGGCTCAACAAGCAATAACAATAATTCCGGTGAGGATGATAAAGGTAGGGTTGACGACAGTGGCGGCGGATTCGGAGGAAACCGGTGGCCGAGACAGGAGACCTTGGCTCTCTTGAAAATTCGGTCCGATATGGACGTGGCCTTCCGTGACGCCACTGTCAAGGGTCCGTTGTGGGAAGAGGTTTCCAGGTGATTATTTTTCTTTTCACACTTGTTTTTCTTTTTCCTTTAATTCTTGATGATGATGCTGATTTTCCCAGAAAGTTTAGTACAGATTTGAGCTTGTTTAAGCTCGTAAAGTGAGGATCTGAGTTTTCCTTAGCTTTTTAATTAGTTTTACTTCTTTGGAGTCTTTCACAGATTATATTCATGCTGATCGATTTGCATTCGTGGTGTAGTTTAGATTAAAGCAAGACTTATTTTCTTTTTCTTTTTCAAATCATTTCCAAGAGCAAGATTGATCAGCTCATCAAGTTGAGAGAATTAAGCACTAAAAACATGAATTCAGTGATATGGGTTTTATTCCTCCTGCATTTGCTTTCTTCAATATAATATCTCAATGATTTTTTTTTTTTAATTTTTTGTAGAATTCTTGAAAAGGGTGAAAAATATATCAATTAATGGTTCTTTGCAAATTGGGTTTCTGTATTTTTCTGAGTTTTCCTGAAGGAAATTAACACACCATGTGTTCTTCCTTCAAGATATGGTAATTTGCCTGAATTCTCTGGTCTCATCTTTCTTTCGCTGATCTTTAATTAATAATTTTCTCTTTCTTCCTTTCTGGTTCCATCTCAATTTCCTTTTTTCTTTTTCAGAAATTGAAAAAAAATATAAACTTCATCCTGGGTTTATAAATTTTATGTGCCAATTAAAAACTGTTATCATTTTTTTTTTGTTTTGTTTCTGAATCAAAGATGGGATAAAAACGGTTGTGTTTTTGTTTTTGCTACTGCTGTTGGCAGGAAATTAGCGGAGCTTGGTTATAATCGAAGTGCCAAGAAATGCAAGGAGAAATTCGAGAATGTTTACAAGTACCACAAGAGAACCAAAGAAGGCCGCACCGGAAAACAAGATGGGAAAACTTATCGTTTCTTTGATCAATTAGAGGCTCTTGAAACTCATCATTCCATCTCATCTCCTGCTGCTGCAGCTGCTGCTCCTCCTCCACGGGCGGTCCCCACAACCATGCCGCCGAATCCACCTCCTCCTAGCCTCCACCATGTCGCTGTTCCATCAACAACAACTTCTTCTTTTCCACAAAACATTGTGACCACCACCGCTTCGATTCCATCATCAAACCCTACAATTCAACTTCCGCTCCAGATGGCGAACCCTATAATAAATCATCCTCAGCAAACATTTTCTCATAACATTTCATCAGCGGATTTAATGTCGAACTCAACCTCCTCGTCTACCTCGTCGGATGTAGAGTTGGGAGGGCGGCATAAGAGGAAGAGGAAATGGAAGGATTTCTTTGAGAGGCTGATGAGGGAGGTAATGCAGAAGCAGGAGGATATGCAGAAGAAATTTCTGGAAGCCATAGAGAAACGAGAGCACGATAGAGTGGTGAGAGAAGAAGCTTGGAGGATGCAAGAGATGGCAAGAATCAATCATGAGCGCGAGATTTTAGCTCGAGAAAGATCCTTAGCTGCAGCCAAAGACACAGCGGTTATGACAGTCTTGCAGAAACTATCTGAACAGCAAAATCTAGGACAGCTGGTGCAAAACCACCCTCCACAGGCACCACCAGTAGTAGCATCTCAGCAACCAGCTGTGGCTGCGCCTGCACCAGCTCCTCCACCGCAACCAACACCTACACCAGGACAATCATCACTTTCTATTAATGCCCCAGCACCACCACCACCTCCAACAGCGGTGACAAATTTAGACCTATCTAATATTGATAATGGGGGTCAGAATTCCCCAGCACTGAGTTCATCAAGATGGCCTAAAGTTGAGATTGAAGCGCTAATCAAGCTACGGACTAGTCTTGATGCTAAGTACCAGGAAAATGGTCCCAAAGGTCCACTATGGGAGGAGATCTCTACCGGTATGAAAAGGCTTGGTTACAATCGGAACTCGAAAAGATGCAAAGAGAAATGGGAAAACATCAACAAGTACTTCAAGAAGGTGAAGGAAAGCAACAAGAAAAGGCCAGAGGATTCGAAAACTTGTCCCTACTTTCACCAACTTGATGCTTTGTACCGCGAAAGGAACAAAGTAGACAATTCTTCTAGTAGTCAGATAAAGCCAGAAAATTCAGTCCCATTGATGGTACGTCCAGAGCAGCAGTGGCCTCCTGCTCCTCCCTCTTCTGAGCCTGAAAACCGACATGATTCAGTTATGGAAGAGATAGAAAGCGAGCACGAAGAAGACAAGGATGGCGATGATGAAGAGGAAGATGAAGGAGGTGAGTACGAGATAGTGGCGAGCAAACCAGTATCAATGGGGACCGGTGAGTGAGATGAATAATGTCATGTGAAAAAAGGCAATTTTTTCAGGTACCGGAAAAATGGTAAATTTGGAGTTGGAGTTTCAAGTTGAAGTGCATTTTAAAGGTAATTAAGAACATACATTGGTGGGGGTTGTAGCATATAGGATCAATGGGGATTATATGTTTATTTTTAGAATTTATTTATTTTTTGGCTAAATAAATAAGTTGATCGTGATAGAGAGGGTTGGTGTTTAATTCAAGTCTCCACATAACAAACCGGGAAAAAAAAAAAAAAAAAGACACTGTTGGTGTTTGAGTATGTTTCATGGTGGCTGTAAATGTGAAAAAACGAGTTACTAGCATTTTCCCTTTACTTTTTTCCTAATTTCGGCTTTATAAAAATTATAACTTTCTCCAAATATAAATGCTATATATCTTAAGTGATGGATCTTACAGATAGGGGATTTATTTCGCGTTGTGTTGACTTATATTTGTTTCGGTTTGATTTAATTATCTTAATTTGAGTTTTGCATAAAATTTGATTATATAATTTTATATAATAAATAAATGATAATCAAACTTTTTTCTATGGATAATTTTCTTAAGTATTTCATTTAAATCAAAATTTTTTTTAATTTTTATTCATTTATTTTATAAAATTATCAAGTTAATTTATATAAAATTAAGAGATTAGGATAATTAAAAAAAGATGAGAAGGAGTAAGCTTTAATTTGGTTGGTAAAAATGTTACTAAGAAAGACATTAATCTGACTAGCTAATACATATCTATTAGGCAATATATTTCTCGCTTTTTACCAAAATTCAATGGAAGTCTTTCTTGTAATGGTTAGGGTGTCTTTTGATAAATTTTTGTGTATTTTGAAACTAATTTCTTATTTGTTTAGTAAAAGACTGTCATCTACACTACAAGTTATGAACCTAAAAATTCAGTGTATGTTTTATCAAAAAAAAAAAGAAAAGAAAAGATCAGTGTATGTATATTCTTAGCAAAATACTCAATCCTATATATATACTAGTTTATATATAGAGGTTTTATATATATATATATATATATATTAGTTTATATATAGAGGTTAATGCGTATCAGTTTTAATTTTAAAAAAAATTAAAATCATAATTTATATTTAGAAATTGAAATTTCAATTTAGAATTCAAAAATTCACTATATTAAATATTAAATATTGTTACCTAGATTTGGAAACCAATTACGTATTATAATATAATCAATTTTTAAAATATAAATATCAATATTTAATAAGATAAATTTTTAAAATTTGGATTAAATTTTAATTAAATAAAACACATAACTTAAAGTTGAGACTTCAATTTATTTTGAGTGTTGAAACTAATATGCACTTTTTTCTTTTATATGAACCCGTTTGATATAATGGTTTGGAGGTAATGGTTAGTGGTTTTGGTTAATAGTTTTGTCCAAATCGTTAAAAATAAGTGTTTGGTAAATTTATTTATTTTGAAACCATTACAAACTAAGTATTTAGTAAAAATTTTTATTTAATCATTTGGAACTAGCAGATAGTACGTGATTATGATTCAAACCATTAATGAATTGAAAAAATTATCTAAAATAGCTTTTTGTATCAAATCTCTAGTAAATTATAATTTTTTTAATTTTATTGATAAATTTATCCCTTTTAATTTTTTAAATTTTTTCATAGTTTTTAATTAGTATTTATCTAATTAGTTTCAACTTTATTTTTTATCTTTAATAATATTAAGTAATTATTATTTTTTTACATCAATTTATTATAAAAAAATTAGTCATTTTAATAATAAAATTAATCAATTTAATAATAAAAAATATAAAAAAATACACTTAATTATTTTTAAATATGCTCTTATCAATTATTTAATTTCAAATAACAACCGCTAACTATTGTATAACAAAATAGTTATATTAATTGAATTCGTTATCTACCATTCACTACTCACTTTTCATTATTTGCTACCCATTATCCGCTAATCGTTACCAGTTACTTATTATCGCTACCCACTACCAACTACATATTGTTGCTATCCGCTATCTGTTATCTATTATCCATTAAATTTTAATCATTATACCAAACATGCCCTATTTATATATGAATATATAAACCATCTATAAATGACTAATGAATGCTAAAGATTAAAAAAAAAAAAAATACTTTACTTTTTTCATAAAACAATTTCCTTTATAGAAAAGGAGAAGTTATCTGTATAACAGATTTTTCATAATTTCCTTTAAGAGTCATATTATCTCTCGTTTTACACAGTCACTTTTCACAAATCGAACCGATTGAGAAATAGATCATTTCGAAACTTGTAAATTGCAATGGACAAATTTAAAAATAAAAATATAGAAGAAGGGGCAAAAGCTGAAAGCAAGGGTGCTGAATTTTGATGGGGTTTGGCAGGACGAATGATCACATGCGCCGGCATGGAACTAAAGGGAATCTTCAAAGCTTTTTTTTTTTTTTTTTTAATCAGCAAAGCTTGTCAAATAGTAAAAGTCATACCAATGGATTTTCATAGGTTTTAGACACAGTAATTCATTATGTCGCCAATAATATATGGGATTGGGAATCATGCTTTGATGGCCACTCATTTCCTAAACCTATGATTTCTAAAAAAATATGTTCATCTAATAGGTAATTCATGATGATGTTGCCAATTTCCTTTTTTGCAGGTAAGTATAATGAAATAAACAGTCATTTTTAATGCTTTTGTTGCAAAAGGAGAAGGAATTCCCTTCCATCTATTTACTCGTTTTACTTGCTTAGTGTACAACTTAAATCTAAAATATTTTAACTTATACTTAAAAAAAAAAAAAAAAGATTACAAGTCGCTTTAAGTTGGTTTGTTGGTCGAATTTTTTATGTGGCTCTGATGATTTGGATGTTTTTGCGTGGATAGAATGTGAATAATTTTTCATTTTTTAATCATCATGCTCCCTAAATGGTCATAATTTTCCACAATATAAGTTGAGAGGCATATGCATATTTTTAACAAAGTTCAAGGGCCTAATGTAAATATAAGGTTTTGCTAGCGATGATTCAAGCCTTTTTACCACTTGAATCACTTGACCAACCAAGCAATTGGCATTTTTGGCCAAAAAAAAACAAAAAAACAAAAAAAAAAAAACATTTTTTAAATAATCATAATAACCCTTTAACCCCATAAATTTTATCCTCCATTTAAATTGTTAAATTGAGTTTTAACCCTTCCACCCCATAAGGCAGGCCAGGCCACCATACATTGGTGGACCTCTTCTTCTTCTTCGTTTTTTTCTTCCTTGAAGCCAATAATTTTGCATTAGAGAATCTCACAAAACACACACATATATACATACATATATATTTATATATATATATATGTACAAAGTATATATAATCAAATCTCATATAATGATATATATATAGATTAAATCCATCAAAAAGCCATTCTAATTGATTCTCAAATTACAAGATAATTAACTTGTCATAATTCAATTATTCATTTGTCTCATTTTTCTCCTTAGGCATCATGGAATTCAGCATTTTTCCTTTTGACTTCACTCATGTGGATATATACCTTACAAATTTGTCCAACTTGATGAAAATTAGGGGTGTCCCACACATTGATTGGTCTCTGCCTCACATAAATAGATATTCTGTTACGTTAACACAGCATAGGACAATAAAAAGTTCATGTTCCCATCATCTCATTTATATAAATACATACACAGCTTTATTTTGCAACACAGAGAGACAGCATGCATCTGCTTCTTATCTTCCATTTATTGCTCATAAAAGAAAACTTTTATCCCCATTCCAATAGGGAAAAGGTGGCTACCATGTGACCCTCTGAATTTTTACCCTTGCTTAAATTATTGCCTAAATAAATTGTACAATTTATTTTTTTACTGCAAAGTACAATTTACATTTATTCATATAATCAAGTATTCAAATTTAAATATCCTTTATACTTTTGTTAATAAAGTTTTCTTATTGTCAGTAAAAAAAAATTACATTTATTCTATCAAGTACATGATACAATCAATTTAATTATAAAGATAAATTATGCACACAAAATTTCAAAGTTTTAGAGTTTTAGTTTCATTGAAGAAGGCTTGCCAGTCTAGTGGCCCAACAATTTAATGTAAGTCTTTTTCACCATGGCAAGAGTTCGATCCCCCTCCTCTGAACCACTTGTCCTAATAAAAAAAAAAAAGAAAGAAGGAGTTTTAGTTTCATTTAATGCTATATGCCTATATTACACAAACTTTATTAACAATCCAAACCCATTTATTTGTAGAAATAAGAGAAACCTCCGAATATTTTGGATGCTCTTTGGAGACAGGAAAATCGAAAAGAGAATGTAGTATGAATGGAATCAATTCGACCTTTAGATTAATACTAACAAGAAAATTAAATGCTATTTGCACATGCTCTATGTTCTTGATCAATTTGATTTGTGCTCACCTCTAGCTCCCTAAAATATATATATAGGTTCATCTAATATGTGCAGATTAAGAACATTTTTTTAACATTAATTGTCATTGAAAAAATAAAATTTAACATTTATGTAATCAATTATCCAATTAAACAATACATATAGTATTGCTGATAAAATTAATATCAACCTCTGTTATTTTCTATACTAATTAATATAAAAAAATGTATTAATTACACCCTTAAGCAAAAATTAAACTTAACCCCCATATGATTTGAGATAAGTATTCATAACTCCTGAAATTATAAAAATGTGCATTTTGACTCCCTTGTGGTTTTTGATAATACAACGTGCACTCAAAATATACTCACTCAGCCTGTCGGTTGGCCTCAACCTTTAAAAAAATGCAAACTTCTGGACTCCCAAAAGAAAGGAAAATGGACCATGGCGTGGGCTTAGCAGAGTGACCAAAATGTCATCAATTTTTGGATGTACAAACAATAATGAACATGTCTTCAACGTTTGGATTCAACCATAGCCATAGGCTAATTAGTTGATACTAAATGGAGTAATAACTATATAATTAATGACTGTTGGAAGTCAACAGTTGTATAAAGGATATATGTATTTTTTTTCTTTTTGGATGTTGACAATATTTTCATACATTATTATATATATCATTCTAGACCAATAATAGGATCACTAATGTATTAATTAGCCTCGTGCGTTCTCCATCAAGGGACCTGCATGTTTCGCAAACAAATTCACTCTAAACATCCATTTAATATACAAAATAGAACATCTAACATTACAATATGTTTGGACATTATTTATTTCTAGATAGCAAAATAATAATCACTAAATGGGGTATAGTTCTCAATATTAAAAAGCTTGTCATATCTAATGATTTAAATAGTACAGTTTATTATAATTTAAATTATACAATAATTTTTTAATATAAATATTACACAAAAAATACAATTTAAATATTAAAATTATCAAAATACTCTTAATAAAACTCTTTTTTATATTTATTTATTAATAATATTTTAATAATTTTTTATACAAATTATATTTTTATTTTTTGAATAATTGCATTAAAAAACACCAATCCTCATTAATATAACTCCTCATTTAGGTACGCACTAACAATCCTTGATGAGTTGATAATATGTATCAAATATTTTAATTTATAATAAAATTTAAGTTTATATTAAGATAGTTGTAATATTTCTTTATTTTTATAAAATTCCGTTGGCTCAAGAAAAAAAAATTTCTTGATTTACGCACGTTGTGTTGCAACCGTCAAACCCTTGATCCAGGTATGACAATTTCTCTACCCACGGCCACGAATAACGAATTCATTTGAACTTATTAACATGTGACCCATATAATTAGTATGTCGATTCCAATTCAAGTCTGACCGACTAATTTGGTAGGAGAAAGGTCTGAAAATAAGAGTCCCGATTTGGTGTAACTTCCTGAGTGTTTAGTTTTTT